ATTGGGCATCATTTATAAAAGTTAACAGGGCATATTTAATTTAGGAATTGGCTCACGTCCTTCTCCGTACAGCTGAAATCTCATAAATGAAATATACTGGATCATTGCCCAGTGCGGAAATAAAAGTTATGAATAATGTTTCTATCTCAATCATTGTCAGTGCTTTAATATTCCTAATTACTTTAAAAAACTAGATATTCAATACAGGAAAACTTTTTTCTTTTTATCTCCACTTGTGAGATTAGTGCAATTTAATAAGAGTCACTCTGTCGTCTTTATTCAGTATAAACTGACATTTCATCCTTTTACTCTTCATTATTATATGGGATGGAGGTTTATGACCAGGCAGGCAGCCACTCCATTTCCCCGTAGTGGTCCATCTAACAGCCCAGAATTATCTGATAGTTGGTGTGTCAGCCCACCAGGCAAATCAGTATCATCTCTCTTCCTTTATGGAACAGAAAGAAATTAGTCCAGGCCTTTAAAAAAATCAGCTAGGGGGTTATAAGTCAGTAAAAGAATGAGAAGTCCCCACCCCCACCCCAGTACTAGATTTATCCCCTTCACTGCTGTCAAAGTCATAAATCCCTTGGCAACCACAAAGGGCAGGGCAGGGCAGGGGCAGGCAGTCAGATGATGGATCTTCGTAACCCTCCCTGCCACTTCCAGGAATTTATCCTAAGAAGAAATTGGGACAAGTGGGCAAAGATATATGCATAAGAAGAATCACTGCAGCATTTTTACACAGGGCCACAATCCAGAAATCCCTAAAAAGTCCAAAACATGTTTTAAAAAATTCAGCACCAAAATCCATTTAGAGGCAAAATCTGCATGAAACCGATTTGAGGTTATATATTGTTTTTATGTCACTTGCTGTGATCAGTCATAGTCACTTCAGAAATATCACTGTTTCACCCAGGGTGCTGCCCAGACCCCATGGGGGCATATGTCACACACAACATACTCACCATATGCTTTCTAAACTCTGAAAAATTATAAATTCTGAAGCCAACAGGCCCCACGGATCTTGGATAAAGGATGGTGGGCCTATGACAGTGAAGAATCAGAAACAACTTCAATGTCCATCAACAAGGGACTAGTTAAATGCATGCGGTAATCCATAGAATGAAATTCTGTAAGGCCATTAAAAATCTAAGGGAGCACATTTATTGACAAGAAAATGAGTGCATGACGTAAAGTTAAATTTAAACAGCAAGTTATAGACTAGCACACACCTTTGATCTAAATAATAAAAGTTATATCCAGATCTAGCTCAATGTGCAAATGTATAAAAGAATGGCAGGAAGGATAAGCACCCAAATGCCAGCAGTGGTTATCTCCGGGGTGGAGAGTTAACCTTTTTTGTCTAACTTTTGCTACAGTTTGATTTTTCTTTTTAACATGAACAGGTATAACTTTAAGAACCAGAGAGAAAAGAAACAAACAAGAACGATGCTTTCAATTAAACAAAACCAAAGTTTCTCTGAAAGGGTGTCACACGACAAACCCCATTCAGTGATCTCCAGAGATCACACTGAAGTGGGACCGAGATACCTGTCTCCACAGATTCGCCCACAAAGACCCTAAGGCACTGTAGAGAGCGCACTGGCAGATAGACCCCAATAGCATGTAGCAAGCCGGCGCAAATTACTTGGGGAAAGCTGGTATCAATTTGTGTCCCATGGCTGACTCCTGTATCTCCACAATATCTCAGGGCCACATCTTTTAAGCAGAGCTCACATTTCCCTGTGAACAACCATGTTTTCTCATGACAGATCAATTTCAACATTGGGCTATATTAACAGAGGTTGAGCATCCAGAAGGAGGGAGAATATAGTAATTAAGAGTTGAGGTTCAGGACATAGGTTTTTGCTTGGGTGATAGTCCCAGACTTACCATTGACTAGCCGTGTGTCTGCTGGAAGTTCTTTAACCTCTGTCTGCTTCAACTTGCTCCTTTGTAAAACGGGGCTAAATAACAATTCCCATACTATAAGTTCGTTGTGAAAATTAAACAAGTAGATAAGTAAACAAAGCACTCAGTGCATAGTAAAATTCAATATATAGTAGCTATCTCCACTCTCATTTTTCCATACTGGTCACACCAAGCTTGCAGTTGTGTGGTCAGATCTAGGAGAAAACATTTAAGAGGAATAAAGGCCACAGCCAATGGAGAGAAACCAGATGGGAAAGGTAGTCCAGACGACATCATGTGAGAAACAAGGGAGCTTGGAGAAGAAACACTTGGGGAGGAAAATGATCACTATCTTCTAATACCTGAAGGGTTGACCCATTAGAGAGTGTCTGGTTTCTTCTGTGCAGCCTCAATGGCTATTATCAACTGCGCTGAGATGACCATTTCTGTAGACACAGACTGTGGTTTTGTCCAGTGAGCTCCTTGGAAGAAATTCCAGGGACAAGGAGCATCATGGTCATCCACCACCCTGCCCTGGACTTTATTATGAGCAAGAACCAACCAGTAGAAGCTAAAAGGTAGGTTTCCAGTGCAGAGAAGGGAAAACTTTCCAACAATGAGAACGGGCTTCCATAAGAGGTAGTGAGCTCCTTGTCAGTGTAGGTATTCAAGCAGAGGTTGGAAAGCTCTTAGCAGAGCATCTACACATTCAATGCTCTGAATGACACTGAAGGTGAGAATCTACGAATTGCTTTAATTCAATGCTGCTGTCCCTCAAACAGGGTTGGAACCTCTTTTAGAACTTCCCATGGGTTCAATAGCACATGCCTTTGAGTCGATTCAAAGCTCAATGACCCATGGCTCTTCAACCCATGAAGGGTGCATTTAATTGAGAGGAAAGAGCTTTTGGGTTGCTTAGCACCAAGTCTGGTGACTGAATTGGGGGTGCGGGGGCGTTAAATCAGACAGTCTAGTTCTGTGCTGTAAATAACAGGTCTGTTTCCCGGCTTGCTTGGTAAATTCACTCTGGGGGCAAATCATACTCTAAACTGCCTAGTCCTGTTCATCAAATGCCACCTTTGTTCCATCTCTTTCATTAGGCCAGAACCCTGAAAAGATACAGACCTTGTCTAAAAGACCCTCCAGGGCTCTCCCCACGGCCCAGCACAGTCCCGAGCATAGAGCGAGCACTAAACACAGTTACATGCATCGGTGGTTTCTATATACTCAGGGCCCCAGGGGACCCAGGCTGTATTTCAATCTCCAATAGGCTGCCCTCAGCATATAATCCAGCAGTAGCAGGCAGACCCATCCCAGCAGGCCTGACCTAATCCAAGTCAGATACTCCTTCCTCAAAGATTCCTTGTAAACCAAGTTACTCAAAACAAAACACAGATAAGGGCGGGAAAGCCCAGACATTTTACCCAATGTGTTTTGCAGTTCAAGTTGACAGAAAGACCGGTTGGACATCTTCCTTTATTTAGCTCATCTGTGCCTCAGTTTACCTTTCATTGTCTGGCCCTGTTTCCCAGTCATGGCTCACTCAAAGCAGTAGAACAAGTGGAAGGAGGAGGCCACTGTGGTCACCGGAGGTCCCAACACATTGGGGGGTTTCTTGGATACCGCAAGCAGACCATGGACTCCCTGAGCCAAGAGAATCACCCAGACTCAAAACAAAACCACATACTGCCTTTGGCCAGAATGTTCTCATGCACTGCATAGACAGAGAGGCTCCAGTCAAGTCCTTTGGGAAAACAAAGAAACAAAAAAACATAACTAGATGTTTCCACCACAGCGGAGACAGTAGAAAAGGGCAGTAACACCACACTGGGCCCACATGGACCCAACATTCTCCTCTCTGAGTTTTCAAGACTATGGTGGTCAGATATAGAGCGAGCACTAAATACAGTTACATTCATCAGCGGTTTCTATATACTCAGGGCCCCAGGGGACCCAGGCTGTATTTCAACCTCCAATAGGCTGCCCTCAGCATTATAATCCAGCAGTAGCAGGCAGACCCATCCCAGCAGGACTGACCTAATCCAAGTCAGATACTCCTTCCTCAAAGATTCCTTGTAAGCCAAGTTACGCAAAACAAAACACAGATGGGGAACATGGAGGTGGCTCCCCAAGATGGACAAATAATAGGGCTTAGATCCCTAGTGGAACCACTGGCTATCTTATCTAATCAGGTCACCATAAAAATACTCTACTCCAACTCAAAGCAGGAAGAAATTTGGGCTTCAGCCTTAGTCAAGGCCTCTTTGAAAACCAAGTAAGACCAAGATATTAACCAACCCTTGACTGCATAATGTGCCAATGGATAGGTGGTCATCCGCAAATATTTGGGGGCAATAAACCAGAGGGGAAGGAGGATTCATTTTCATCTGTGTTCTTGGCAGAGAATTCCCTGAACAGCTGCCAGGTAAGCCGCACCCTCTTGGTGGCCGGCCTCACAGTAGAGACAATGCACCACGCCACTGTGGGTTACTGGGCCAGGCCCCAGAGCATCCACATCACCCCAAGTTCAGTAGGAAGGCTTCCCTGGAGAAGGTGAACCATCCACCCACAAAAACGTAGGAACACAAGGACCTACCCCCACGAGTGTCCTGTTCTAATTTTGGGGACACAGAGACATCCCAAATGTCTACCAGTCTCATAAATCAGTTCCCCTGAGCCTCTGTGGGCACCCACAAAACCGAGTTTTTGGAGCAGTGAACCTGGGGACCAGGGCTAGACAACGGCGACCTCCTCAGTGTGTACTCCTGGGCACTGTGTCAATTTCACATCAACCATCAAAGACCATATCTAGAGGTGTTCCATCAAAAGTCAGAGTTGTCCAGATGACCCCACAATTCCATAAACATACAACACACAATGCCCCCACAGACCCCTACAAATCATCTCTCAAGTGCCACCAGGTTTTAACTGCAGGTACACCTCCTCCCTGATGTTCAGACGGGCTCAGGCAGCCCATCCCAAGTCGCCCCAGCACAACACAAAAATGTAGCATGCACATACCACAACCCACCCCGCCTACCAAGTCAGAGCCAGGGGTCCTCCTGACCCCCAAACCCCAGACTCACCGCTGGAGCAGTCGGGCCCTCCCCAGCCAGGCTCGCAGTGACAGGTGTCCGGGGAAACGCAGCGGCCGTGCACACACTCCTCCGTACACAGGGCTGAGGGGACATGAGGAGAGAGAGGAAGAATCAGAACAACAGTGAAAACCAACCATCTGGTCAAGGAGCATAATCCATTTTGTCACAACTCCCTGGTGCCCAGGGATGCTCACAACGCATCACTGGCTTGGGGGAAAATCAAGCTCCACCTGACCTGAGTCATTTAATTAACTCCAGAATGGATCCTACAAGAGTACATTTCATCCCCAGCCTCATTTCCTAAAATGAAACCCAAGCTGGAGAAGCGGTAACGTCGTTGGCTTTTCGAGAACATTTTCTCCAACGTTTAGCAACAGAGACCTCCGCAAACCTTGGCTCCTAAATCCACACCCCTGCTCTCTTTCTCCATCTGCTTAGGAAATAACCTGTCCCTTGCATCTTCTGCTTTCCCCAGTTTCCTTCTGCAAAGGCCCCAAAATGTATCAGCCTGCCTGAAAAGAAGGTCCCTTCTCACTTTTCCCCCCACCTTTCTGCCCTCCTCCCCAAATGTCCCTATTTTGGGGTGCTCAAATGTCAGCAAATCTGCAAAGTACACACATGCAGAGGAAAAAAGCAACAGCTAATTATAAGAAAGTAATTAAGAGAGACATCCACGATGATGATAATTGTAATTAGAAAGTGCCTGGCAATTTCTTATCACGCAGTTGAATGCTGCAGCCTCCCGAGGTGGGAGGTTACAGCGGCAGGCACTTTCCCTCAACCACTCTGGTGCTGAGGCTGATTGACAGCAGTTTGAGGAAGGGAAATTATTTTTCTCTTTCTTTGACAGAATCCACATTTCCTCAAGGTCATCTTTTGCTCCTGAAAGATCTGCCCCACCATCCAAGCCATCAGTGAAGGATTACAGAAAGCCCCCATGTGCCACCTCCACCAAGTCTGAAGGCTCAGGGAATCAGCACTTACCATCAACCCTGTCAATTTCTTAGACCGGATCGAGATGTGTGTGTGTGTTGTTTTTTTTTTTTTTCCTGAAAGCAAGGGACTTCTCTCTGCCCAGTACTGGCCTGGGCTAGGGGAGCAGATGGCCCCCTTTCGTGGCCTCCCACCCACTGTCTGGCCTAAATGCCCACTGGGAAGATGCTGTTGGGTTAAACAACAAGGCTCATTTAATGACTGGTGTGGTCCTCTGGCCCCTCCTAAGCACGGAAACTGACCCCGAAGCTGCTGCCTTAGCTTTGCCCAGGCCCCAGGCAAGGTAGACCCCAGAAGAGTCATTTCACATGCCTCACTGGTCAGTGGTCTGGAGTCAGCCTGTCCACTGCAAGGCTGGGATGTGGTGTGTCTGGAGATCCCTAGCACCTGGGTCCTTCTGATTGCTACAAGTAGCCTTTGGGGAGGGTTGTAGCACTTCCCCAGTGCTGGAGCCCCGCTCACTTACAGCCCTGGGAAGCGGCTAACCCATTGTTGGAGAACCCAGTGGGCCCTGACCCCGGGGACCAGCTCCACTTAGAATCACAATGTGCTGCTCACGCGGCAGCTAGCAAGACTGTCACTCCTGCTGCCCGGGCTCCCACTGGACTTTCCAAACAAGCTTATATGAGTCAATGCCCCCAGGACACAGCAGTGTCCATCCTCTGGCTCCCCATGGGATGCCAGCCCCTCAGCCCAGCCAGCTCCCAGCCCTGGCCTCAGCTGCTTCCTTTCCCTCATCCCCACCCTGACAGGCTGAGGTCCCCGCATGCTCCACAGCTGGACCCATCAGTGTTACAGCTTGTCATATTAGCTCACTGACACCGCCAACTGCTTTCTGACTGCAGAGAGCAGGACCCCGATCCCTGGGGTCTCTGCCTAGGGCGGTGAAATCAAGCAGTGACTTGCGAACCTGCTGAGTGTCAGGTCTCAAAGAGACTTAAGAGAAAATCATGTCCTGGCCCTTTGTTTTATATCTGGAGAAGCTGAGGCCTGAATGTTCATGGCCCCTTGTGCAGTGTGTGGCCTCTCAGTCAGGGAGGAAGGAGCTTGGGGTGGCTCCTGGAGCTAGAGGCCTCTGAAGGTGGAGAGAGCCCAAGGCTGTGGGGACTTCACATTTTGCCCAGGCTGGACATCCTCCTCCGCCCACATGGCTCAGGGGCTGGCGGTGGGGCCATTCCAGAGGGAACAGCAGAGGGGTGCTGTGACAGGCCCACAAGAGGGTCAGTGGTGACCAGAGACAGAGGGTGGAGGAGCTGCTTCAACATGCTCAGCACCACACAGGTTAGGGATAGGGTGGAGGGCAGATAATTTGAGAAGGAAGACCACCCAGTGACCTGCCTGCCCCCTGCTCCTGACCCTAGACACCCAGCCCATCCACCTGCCTCCTGTGCCTTCTCCAAGTTGGGAGGGAACAGCCTTCTGGTGCTCTGAGCAAGCTCCACACTGCACTGCCTTTTCCCTTGGTCCCTTTCTGAAGCCCCAGAGACCAGCAGGACAGTCTGCAGAGCACCGCCCCCAACACTGCAGACACAGACCCCAGCTCAGTCCCGTATCCAGCCCCTGGACCCTGGTAAGGACCCTGTTAAGGCAGCAGCTTCGGGGTCAGCTTCTGTGCTATGCATGGAGGATGGTCATCCCACAGTCCCTTGGCTTGACCCCAGGGATGCAGGTGCATCTCCCTCCTTTCCTCATCATCCTGGTATTTTGCCTGCACTGTTTGCTTGTCAAAACCTCAATCCATTCATATTTCATAGGTGTTGTTTAGACAGTGTTGTTTGAAGCATGAAATATTGATAGCAAATACCCGAGGCTCAGACTGCCATATTTGGCAATTGGGCCACTGTGTGTTTGGACACCTGGTGGGGAGGGGCTGAGGTGCCGCAGGGAAAGTCTCCTAGGGAGGGTGGCAGTGGCCATCCCTGGTGCTGGGATGGCCGATTCCGACGCCAGCAGCTGGCAGCCCGTCTCCAGAGGCCTGGGGTTACTCAGCTGCTGCTCCTAGAGCATGTGGGTCCCCTAAGCTCTTTCAGACCACAGACGCCCATGCCAGTGACTGCCTGGGAGGGGCTGGGTTAGGGTGCTGCCACCCTGGGCTCCCTCTTGGAAACTTACAACTCTAAAAAGGGCGTTTTGTCAAGTCCCTCTTCACACTGCTGCACATCCATCTGCTGTCATGGACGGGGTGGCTGGACGGGCTCTGACAGCACCAGCTGTGTGATGGGGTCAGCCGCTCGCCCTCTCCTGGCCCCACCGAGAAATATGAACTACACTCTCACCACCCTGCCTCAGTCCTGATTCTGACCTCCCAGCATGCTACAAGCCTTCTCAGCAAGCAGCAGGATGTGCAGGGGTTGAGAACACACTGCATCCAGAATGCCGGGTCTGGCCCAAGCGCCTTATCAGCTCTAGGCCTTGGATGAGTTACCTCCATCTCTGTGTCAGCCCCATCTGTTCAGTGGGGTACGGTGGCAGGATGGGCCTCACAGGCTGTGTGAGGATTGAATGAGTTGATGGAGTGCCCAGAGCAGGGCCTGGGGTATAGAAAATGCTGTGTGAACCTTGCTGTTGTTACTAGAGTCTCCTCGGCCCTGAGGACAGGCTCCTGGTGAGGTTCGAGCCTCTTCTACCCTCCACTCACTCCCATCCTGCACAGAGGTCTTGGACACGCGACGGGTGGTCTGTAGGGAACTGCAGACAGATCCCTGGTTGGGGACAGTGCTGCTGGAGGGCAGTGCCATCTCCAGCCTTGGCAGGCAAGGCCAGGGTGGTAGACAATGTGATGATCTAAGTTTAAATTCCACATCCGCCAATTACAATTATAGTTACAGGACAATAAACAATTAAACTTCCATGCCTCAGCTTTTCCATCTGTAAAATGAGGACAAGAGTAGTGCCTACCTTATGGGTTGCTGCAAAGATTAAATGAAGTAAAACACGTAAAGTTCTTAGACCAGTGCCTGGTATATAGGCACATGGTAAGTACTCAATAAGCATGAGATGCTATTGCCATCTCTCTCTCTCTCTCACACACACACACGGGCTGTGGGATGTCTAACACAGCTGACAGCTGCTGCCATTTGTTGCCACTTCCTGTGCACTACCATTTTCTGAGCACCTACTATGTGCCAGACCTTAGGGCTTTCACACACACTCCCTCAGCCTCTGGCAGAGGCCATCCCGCCACACGCTGGGAGGTAGCTATGTCTGCTGTCTCTCCTTTGAGGATCTCCAGCTCCTAGGGGAGACAGGGTGCTTCCCACTCCTCCTTTTTAAGCCCTCATGCTTTCTGGTACACAGTAGGTGCTCAATGCTTGTGAGCCCCACACTCACCTGCCCCAGGAAAGAATACCACAGCTCATGTGAGAAAGGCATGCTTGTTTTCCCCAAGCTCAACCTCAGAGCTTGGTCACAGAGAAGTCACCAAATCTGCAGACCTGTCCCTTGGCTCAGGCTGTTTATGGCCCTGTGGGACCAGGGTGATCAGGGGTGTTGAGGGTGGTGGTGTGGGGTTGCAGAACAAATTCAGCCTTGGGTGTCAGGCAGCCCTGATTCGTGTCTACAAACATCACTCTGTGATATCAATAACTCACCATCCTCTCTGGGCCCTGCAACTTCACTGGGAAATCAAGATTAAACCAGATGAGGTTTCAAGTCCCATGCAGCTAAGAATCCCCTCAATCTGTCCTCCTGCCCACCCCCCCCAGGACACACCTGGATTGCTGCCATTGCTCTGGTTCCCCTTCCTGGCCCCCAAGCCCCAGCCTCTTTCTATCACAGGGACCCCTGCTTTCTTTCCTCTATTCCTTTGGAAACGGCACTGGACGAGGAGCCAACTCTCTGGGTTCAGGCTCTTGTCCATAAAACAAGGGCATTAGAACACATTGCCTTTAAGGACCCTTCCGTGGTTGACATCCCTCGATGCTTCTCTTCTGACCTAGGACCGCATTGACTCCAGCACACCACCTTAGAAAGCTGGAAGCTTGAAATACTTCCACTGAGCTCCCTAGCCCTGGGTCACCTGGCCACCAAAGCCAGGCACAGCCTTCATCATCCAGCCCCATCAAGAAGCCAGGAAGGGAGAGGTTCCT